AGAGAAGTTAAAAAGAAGAGGTGGAACCGTCCCAAAATGTCTCTTGCCCAGAAGAAAGATCGGGTAGCTCAAAAGAAGGCAAGCTTCCTCAGAGCTCAGGAGCGTGCTGCTGAGAGTTAAACCAAATTTCTATGAAGATTTTTCAGATAAAGACCAATAAACTTATTCATCAAGCAAAAAAAAAAACAAACAAATAACTGTGCCTTTCTGTCTTTCCAAGTAGGGAGGGGAGCACATAGGTTGCCGGTCATTTAGTAAAAGTTCTATAATTCCTTTTAATTTGGTCTCCTGTGTGCAATATATCCAATCCTGGCCATTATATAATATGTGAGTGTTACTTTACAGGTGGGAATCTTTTAAAAATCTCACTAAAAGTAGCACAATTTTAAAGAGGTGTATTTTGGATATAGTTTTTCAGGTTCCAGTGGTCAGGAAGGTATACCTAACAATGGCCTCTGATGGACAGAGTCACAAGGCACACACAGACACCTTGTCCTTCTTGGGGATGTCCCATAATCATTCATCCCTTTGGGAATCTATGATGGCACAAATACTCCAAGAAAGGAAAGAGCTTCCTGGAATCTGGAAAGAATGCTCTTATGACTGCACGGCTGACACTTCCCTCTTGATCTGCTTGGCTTTCCCCACCTGCACCTGACCATACTGGCAAACTCCGAGGGTGTATCCACAAAAGAGTTCTGCACCCAACACTGGGTATCTGAAAATATCCACCTCCCTCCCTCTGAGATTCTCTCTCCACTCCCAATTTCTGAATATGTATTTGCCTTAACTTCAGTAATATTTGCCAAGTTGGTGCTGGATTCTTACTTAGGAACTTCCTGACATTTTCTCCAAACTATGTTATTTTCTTGCTCACACCCCAGTGCCTGGTCCTCACTATACCAATGTCTTTGAATCGCAGGTGGTATCTGCTTGGTCTCCTCAGGAGCTCAAAATTGAGACACTGTCCTCCTTTGGATACTCTGACTTTACCTTTTCATCTAATCTTCCTCTCATTTGATTTCATTGCTTCATTTGTTCAGATTCACATGAACTTTTTGCATGCTTGACGCTTTGCTAAGGCAAATTTTGTGACACTCTGACAAACACAATTAAGTTTCCATGTGGGAAGCATTAAGTGATAGACAGAAAGTCTATGAGTTTATATGTGAGTAGTCTGTCAAGAAAATAAGATGGAAAAACAAAGTAAGTGGGACCAGTGGATTGGAGGGCAGCACTCCTTCATGTTAAAGGGTCAGAAAAGGTACGTGGAGTAGTCTGTGATAATGAAACTTCAGTTTCCCTAGTCATATTAATTTAAACACTGTATATGTATTGAATAGAAGTAATACAAGACTACAAAATTAAAAATGTATACAGTTGTGGAAAATTCTGAATTACAATACTTCAAATTATATAGCAAAAATTATGGATTTAGTTTGTGCCCTGTAACATTCATATGTTGAAATGCCACCAGACTCAAGGTTTGTTATCAAGCAGTGGGTGCTTTAGGAGGTGATGTCGTTAGATCATGAAAGTGGGACTTTTATAAATGGGATGGAAATGTGAACCAAGCCAGTCCTCTGGCGTGGAAAGCTGAACAAACATTTAACCTCTATTATGGATTGAGTCTAGCCGTATCCCCAAAGCCTCATGTCATCATGGGGCAGACTTCTAGAATTTGTGATTAATTCGTGATCTAATGCTAGGATTATGGGCGTGAGTGCTGCTGGGATTATGGGTGTGAGTGCTATATCTAGCCTGGGGCGGATAGCATAGAAGCAGTATAAAGAAGGGAGAGGCTGCTTCTCTGCTGCTGTTGCCCCCACTACTGCTGATGCCACTACTGCCTTTTGGCTCTTGCTGTTTTGCTGTTTTCTGCCACCATGAACTGCTGCTCTTTGCCAAGTTCCACTCTGCCTTAGAGCCAGTTGATTACGGGCTGAGGGGATAGCTCAGTAGAATAAGCACTTGCTTGGCAAGTACAAGGTCCTGAGTTCAATCCCCAGTACTGAAAAAAAAAAAAAGAGTCAGCTGATTATGGACTGAAACCTCCACAAACTGTGAGCTAACTAAACCTTTCCCTCCTTAACTCTCAGTGTTGAGCATTTTATCCCAGCAATGAGAGAAAAGTAACCAAGACAACCTCATATCAGCTGCTCTAAAAATGAGTGCTTTGAGGAGATGGGTTTGAAGGACTACTGGGCTCTCACAAGCAACTCTCTGTGTAGTCATCACTTCTCTCTCAATTCAGCTTTTCTGTGCTCTTTGGCCAAAGCCATTTGCTCCCTCTGGATCCTCAGGCTGTAGGTGAACACGAGAGTGACAAGGTTGTACAAGAGGGAGACGTTGTTGCCCCGGTGCGGTGAGCACCAGACACAGTGTACATGAGCATCACTGCACCAGAAGAGTCCCACCCTGTTGGGCTGCAAGCAGCAGGTGATGGCCTTATTTCCTGCCTCCTCTGATGCATGCATAGAACAGACCTCAATCCACGGCCATGGTGGGTGTGAAGAGGGAAACCAGAAGCAAGGGAATCAGCACCCCCCAAAAGTGGACAGCGCCAACCCACAGGCAGAGGAGGGCACCTAGCAGAAGAAACAGTCTGTGATGCAGGAGGCACAGGGGGGCAAGTGCAGGCTGATGGGAGTCTGCACGGAAGCACCGCGCACACCTGCCAGCCTGGAGGGGCCCACTGTGAGCAGCCACACCTGGCACCTCACATCAAGGGAGCAGCACAGGGCAGTACAGTAATCCTACTACATAGGGGTCGGCAGGGCACTCAGCCATCGATCGCAGGAGGAACATTTGAGCAGCACAATCTCTAAAGCACAGGGAACCTTTTCCTTGTGGGAAAATCCAATACCACTTTGGTGATGGTGACCAGAGGGAAGCTAATGTCAAGGTTATGCAGAAAATAGTATATAGGTACGTGGAGTCAGGGAGTCCCTTCTTGTGAAGAATGTGAGGATGGCACAGCCCACAAAATCAGTAAAGAATTTAACAACACCAGAAAGAGGAGCCACTGATGTGGCCCAGAGAAAGTAAAAAGCCCAGAAAAAAGGAGGTCCAAGGCCATCAACCAATTTCCACCTCCCATGCTTCTTGCAATATACCTTTGTTGCAGGGTGAACAGAAAACCTTTGGTAAGAAACCTGGTGAGACAGAAGATGTCCCACCTTGTGCCAACTGCCAGTGCCTGGGAATAGTTTCCTGATTTAAGTAGAAAACGTGCCATGACCACTTCTCTTCTTGTTAGATGAGACTGTGCTACAGAGTCCTTTGTTTATTCTATTTACTCAGAACCAGGAGCTCTTCACTGGGAAACTGAACAGCCTCCTACCTGCTGTCACTGACTCCTGAGGGCTGTTACAGCCCCACCTCCATAATTCTGAATGCTTTCTCCCCATAACTAGGTTGGACACTCTGGATGCAATGGGGGAACGGCTGTGGTGATATGCTGTCCAGGTGCTCACACTAGGGCTAGGAAGAGGCCTCAGTGCCCAGAAAACTACAATTGGGAGGGTTCAGCCAGCAGGAGGATCACTCAAGACTGCTCCCTTCTCCTCCTCCTCCTCCCCTTTGCCCTTGCCAAGATATAAACACCATGTTTTTCACTGATCAAATTCTTCACTCCCCCTGTTCACCCTACAATTAAAATCCACATTCTCTGAGCACAGATAATTTGTAGTCTGATTTGTTCAGCCTATACTCACAGAGACTAAAATAGTGATTTGATAGACACAGTAAGCATTTATTCCATGAACGACTACAGCATACATGTACATGCACACACACGTACAGACACATACATGTACCCAGTATATGTGGAAGGATGGAGAGAAAACGATGATTATCCCTGGGCGAAAGGACTGGGAGACACTGAATGGAAGGAGAACATTTTACTGACTTTGTACCACTGGCTGAAGTTTTCGCTAAGATACTTTCTGCCATGGGATTGCCAAGTTGTGGAAATCCGCACAAATAATCTGATTTTCTTGGGCTGTGTATGATCAGAACAGACTGAAGAAAAGTTGTTTGCTTTTTTTTTTTTTTTTTTTTTGCGGAACCGGGGATTGAACTCAGACGCTTGGCGTTTGCCAGGCAAGCGCTTATTCTACTGAGCCATCTCCCCGGCCCAAAGTTGTTTGCTTTCAGCGTGCAGCTAGGGATTAAGGAAAATCTCCTCTCCAACACCTCCCCTGTAGCTGATCTCTAATATTCCCAGGCCCCTGGAACTACGCCAACCACATCCCCCAACCCACACCAGTTTTATTTGCCGCCCCGTCTTCACTCCTAGTTGGGGTCTCTCTCTCCTGCCCCGCCCTCAGCTCTTGTTTCAGCCCATATCCAGCCCCACCTATAGTCCCGCCCCCTGGGCTGGTCTCCGCCTATAGTTAGCCCTGTCCACGACTGGCCACGCCCACAGCACCGCCCCAGCAGCTGATCTCCGCCCTCTGTCAATCACGTTAGGACTAGTTCCGCCCACATCCTTGTCCCCGCCCACGGCCTGCTTCCTGGGCCTGGTCTCTGCTCTCCGCACGGTTCCCGCTCCGAGCGGCCGACCCAGCCCAGAGCCCAACCTCGCGCACCCTAAATGCTCTAGAACAGCTCCCCCCCTTGTCCCGCTCAGCCCCGTTGGAATCCCATACGCCGCCGCCGCCGCCGAGAGCCCGAAACCGGAAGCAAGCTGCGGGGTGCCCGCCCACCACCGGAAGCGGAAGCGCGGAGCCGTACAATGGGCGGACCCGCGGGTCGCGCTGAGTCCCGCGAGTGTGACTGTCCCTGGGAGCCGGAGTCCGTGGCCCCCGGCTAGCGGCCGGACGCGGTGAGCGGCGGAAAGGGGCTCGGGTAGGACTCTGGAGAGGAGCCTCGGGCATCCCAGGCAGCGGGCTCGGCGTCCCCCTGTCCTGTCCCTCCCCCGAGGCCTCGGGCTGTTCAAACTCAGATGAGCGCCACACTGCCCTCACCCCTGGGTCGGGACCCGCGCTGGCGTCACCTCTGCAGGGACCCCTTGTCGCCCCCACGGGGACCAGCCTTTACCTCAGGGGACTTGGCTGAGTCTAGACACGGTTTTGTCACAGATTGGGGGCGGGGCCGATGCGACTGTCACCTAGCGGGTGAAGGCCAGAGACGCTGCTCTACCTAGTACAATGCACAGTGCACCGACCCACAGCAGAAGGATTAGCTGTAGTCCCGCCACGAGGAAGCCCAGCTCTGGGGCATTAAAATCTCTGAAACTCCGAATGAACTATATAAGCTTAGTCACTTATAGGACCTCTGACTGACGAATCCTGTTAGGAGTGTCTAGTCATGAGAAATACCTACAGTCAATTGAGCAAGTCAGATATATCCAGCGCCAGCCTTTCTCCCGTCTTGAAAACACTCCTGCCTAGGAATCAGTCCAGGCGGATAGGCTGAGCTGTCTTTATTACATTGAATCAATAAATACAAACCCAAAAAGAAAGATTTTTCTGTATTGAATAAGCACCCTATTGCCAGCTATGTAAGGCATCAGAAACGATCTTTGTGACCTCCCCTTTTTCAGACAGCAAAAGCATCGTTGAAGCTTAGACAGGTGGAAACATCGAAGTCCACCCACCGCTTCTCACTGATTCGTGGATTTCTGTGTGACCAGGTGAGTGAACCTTGAGGAACTTGGCAACACCAGGGTCCCCACAGGCAGCTCACGTTGTAACCAACCACCAGGAACCTTAGTGGGAAGGTAAGAAAGATTACTTCTGCTTGATGGCTTATGTTCAAGAGAAAACTACTAAGGTGTGTGTGGTTGTGTGTGTAAAAAAAGAACAATCAACTCTTTTTTTGTGACTTTTCTGAAATAGCGAAATAGCAGTGCAGTTGTTCACATGCAGAGAATCACAAAAAATCCTGTAACACTACCAAAGGCATGTTTGCTTATTCTGCAATAGACCTTCTGAGTGCACCACTTAGGGTGACCATCTGTGCCTATTTATTAGGACTGAGGGGTTTTCCCGGGCATAGCACATTCAGTGTTCAAACCAGGGTGATTGTTCACCTCTGGCCAGGCCTTGAGCCAGACGCAAGAATGCCCTGGAAAACCAAAACAGTCCCTGTCACTCCTCTGTGACGTGTGTGTTCTAACAGAGGATCCGTATCGACAAGAGTGTTGTGGGACTCGGGCTGGTGGGGAGGGACGGAGAACAGAGAAGTCTCATGGGAATAACTGATACTTAGCTTGAGAGGAAAAAGTAAGATTATATTGTATGGTTAGACTGAGGTCTGAGGGAACTGAAGAAGGAAAGCCCCTGAGCAGGAGAGAGCCCAGAAAGACAGAGATGGCTGAGGCCAAGGTGATGAGTGGAGACAAGCATGCTGTAGATCTTCGTGGGAAGCAGAGGCCTGGACTGACTTGACACTCTGTTCTCAAGCCAATGGAAAACACGGAAGATTTGGGAGCAGGGCCATGATGCAGTGCCCCTTTGGTCTAAGCTCCTGGGTAAAATGAGCTTTAGGATCCCTAAGGAAGAGTTTCCAAGAGGCAAGGTAGGAGGTGTAGAAAAGAGATTTAAGGAGGAGGTGACGGTTCCGGAGCTGGAGTGATGACTGGAGTAGGAAAGGGGTCGGAAGCCTAGAACTGGAGCTTCCACCTGAGAGTCGGCGGCACTTTCCTTCCCTTGTGCACTTGGCAGGCAGTGCCCCTCTGCACTTGGCTCCCTCTGTGCAAACCGCGGACTGCCCCTCACCCAAAGCCTGTGCTGACCCTCCATGGCCTCTCCCAGGTCTTTTGCTGTATCCCAAAGGAGGTCAGGCATGAGAGTGCCTAGTGCTACATTTCTGTCATCATTGAAATTTCTGACAGGCAACCCTGGAAAAGAGTGGCCTGACTGCTGAACCTCTCTTCCAGCATCAACATATCCAGGGCGGAGTAGGTGTCAGGAAATGAGTAAACTGACTCGAAATCTCCCCTGCCTTCAGAGGAATTTCAGCTCCCAGACAACCTGGAAGAGGACTCAAGTGTCGCAGCCCCTCCTTCTCTGCCTGCCTCTCTTTTGCGGGGCAGTGAACTGCCTGTACTCCAAGCCTCCGCCTGCCCCTCCTCAGCCAGTGACTAAAACTACCTGACTGCAAATCAGTCCTTGAGAGGACAAAGGGGGCTTTACATACCCTGAGAGGGCAGGAAAGCTCTGCCACAGCAGCCTGGGTCAGCAGGCCGCCCACCTCCTCCCAGTCCTGGTTCCCTGTTTGATGGGAGAGGCTGTGTCCTTTTCTTGTGGCTGTGGTAACAGACTCACACAGGGGCTTCAAACAAAACAGACTGAGTCTCTGAGGGTTCTGGAGGTCAGAAATCCCAGATGAGTTACAGGCCTGAATTTCTACCAGTCATAGTGTTACTAGCTCTAGGGAAAATCCATCTCTGCCTTTTCCATCCTGTACAGATTATCTGCATTTATTGGCTTGCATGTCTTCCTCCATATTTAAAACCAACAAGGTAATAGTCTATTGTCTGATCTTCTTCTGCTCTCTCTCTCTCCCCCTCCCTCCCTCCCTCCCTCCTCTCCCCCATCTCCTCTCCATCTCTCCCTCCCTCTTTCTTTCTCTCCTTTCCCACCACCTTCATTCTTACTTCTCTGCTTCCATCACATTTTCTTCTCTGACTCTGACTTTCCTGCCTCATTTTTTAAAGTACTGTGTAATCCAGCCCATATAATCCACCAGTCTCCCCATCCCAAAATCCATACCTTAAATGCATCTCCAAAATTCCTTTTGCAACAGCAGAGAGTATACACACAACCTCTAAGGATTACAATGTAGACAACCCTTTTTTCTTTCAGCAGCTAGACGTTATAATCTGTTTCCCACCAGGCCCCAAAGTCCAAGACTCTAATTAGGTTTGTCACAGGGCACAAATTCAGTGTCTGTGTCCCCATCTCTGCCCACAGACGCCCTTCATTGCTTTCTTTTGAGTACAAGAAGGTCACACATAGAAATCTCAAGAAGCCGTTTTTATGGCGTTGTATTTTATTCTGTGTCTGCAGGGAAAGGAGGCCTTCCCTTCCCATAAAAAGGAACGTTCTGTATACACCACTTGGTACCCTGAGGAATTTTTTTGGTTTTTTTTTTCACTTAAATTTATTGGACATAGTAATTGCTGCTGACACCTAAGAATCTTTTCATACTTGTTTTTGTTTTGTTTCTGGCTGCGTGTTCCTTCATCGTGTAGGTAACCCATAGTTTATTCAGCTCATTTCCTTTTGGTGGTCATTTGTGTTATTTTCAACAATTTATAAACCATGCCAATGGTGAATAATTTTGCCCATAACTTTTCAGTTTAGTGCATCTTTGTGCTAATCCGTGGAAGTGGGTCCAACAGGGAAAGGGTGCGTGTGCTTGCACCTTTGCCAAATGTTGACGAGTTCCTGGAGTTGGAGCCACGCAGCAACCTCTGCCTTCAGTGTTACCAGCAAAGGCTGTGGTGCTGTGTCTTTTCCAGTCAGACAGAAAGGGGACAGTGCCAGTGTCACTGCAGCCTGCATCTCTGTCGCTGTTGGTGAGCCTGTGACTCTGTCAGGATGTCCTGGAGATGTGGTGACAGGCACCAGGCAGTGCTAGGCAGGAGTGAGCGGACCTGAGGAAAGGCGGCAGCAGGGTGAGAACTGTGGCTGGGACGCGGGATCAAGGCGGGCATAACTACAGGAAGAGCTGTGCTCAGAGGACCGGTTTCTGTCACTACTGAGGATTCTGGACCTGCCTTGAGCGCCAGGAGGATACACTTGGATGGGAAGGTGGGAGAATGGTGGCTCCTAGGAAGCAGGAGCTGGGCCCCAGGCCAGAGCTGCCGCAGAGGGCAGCAAGGCCTTGTTCACCAGAGGGCAGCAGGCCCAGTGGAATTCTCATGGTGAGAGTGGAGGTGGGCTCCTTCCTGAGAAGTCGGATGTGGGGCCGTCCTTGAGAGTGGGTTGTTCATGATCTGTTGTCACCTAACAGCTGGCTCCCAAACCTAGTTGTGGAAGAGGCCAGTGATCCTTCTGTCATCTCATGGTTTGTGTGGTTCAGGAGTGACACAGTCAGAAGATTATGCTCAGGACTCTTGGGGACAGCAGGAGATTGGGCCATGTGCAGACGTAAGGTGCTCCAGGCTGTGCTTCTGAGGCCTCACTTGGTGGAGGCCCTTGGATGGCTTCCCGTGGACCAGGCAGCCAGGAAGCGACACAGAAGCTGCTTCCTTCGGAGACCTGGCCTCTGAAGTCCTCCCTGGCGGCTCTGCAGTCTGCCCTCATTCAGAGTGTGCTGGGGGCTGTGCAGGCTGTGCCCACAGGGGCTGAGATCTATTTAGGAAGCTGGTTGCTGTTGGCAGACCAGAATGTGTAAGGCCTATGGAGATCAGAGGCTTGAGGCTGGGGAAGCCCTGTGGGCCTGCGGGGCCTACTTCCAAAGCCAAGGGTGCTTTGCATGTTGATGCCTTTGCTTGCCCAGAGGTGACCATGTCTTTCGGTCTGTGGATGTGGCCAGGCGCAGGGGATGATTAGAACCTGCGGTGATGCTGGCCCCGTGGGAGGGTCTGTGTTGGGTACAGAATGTGTGTTCACATTAGAGATATGGAAATCTCAGCCTGCTAAGTATGAAATGAGGACAGCAGGTGGCAGATGACAAGGAAGTAGAGAGGACAGAGTGGCCTTGGTGCAGTCGGAGAAAAGGAATGAATACAGAAGAGGACAGGAAGAGCAAGAGGGAGGAGAATTTTCTGCATGTTTGTTCCCAGCAGTGGGACAGCACCAGTGAGGATGTGGGCAGAGTGAGTGAGACCCAGATCAATGGGAGGGAGGCAAGTCGGGGCATTGCCGGCTGCCACACACCCTGAGGCTGTCTCCGTCCTCTGAGATGGGCCCACAGGCTGAAGAAATAATGAGAGCCGGGAGCCAGAGTCTCCAAAGAATGACAAGTTGTTGACAAGACTGCAACAATAGCTTACATGGGAAGAATGTTCCATGAGACTCAGGGAAGCCAAGGTTTTGAAAGTGGGTGGAGCAGTGTGTATGGGTCTTAATGTTGGAGATACTAGGAGGTCTGCCTTGCCTCTACCAGGCTTCTCCTGACGTGCCACGTATGTTTGGTTTTGTATCCATGGTTCATAGCTCAGAACTCCCTCCCCAAGGCAGAGGATGGAAACTCAATGTTTCTTCCCCAAGGTGGGTCATGAGGACTCCAGTCTTTCTCACCTTCACCTAGCCATAAGCAGTTCTCTGGTCTACCTTGTCTTTAGTTGTGAGTACAACTCTCCTCATTGCAGAAGGTCCCACTCCACCCTAAAGGAAGGGGTGCTGCGCAGAGAGTCCAGGAGGAATCTCAGTGGACAACAAGCCTTGCTGGGTCTCCCTCTGCAGTCTGTCTGTGGTCCTTCCTGTGCAGAGCAGTCTCCATAAAAGCCCAAAGGCCAGGCTGCTGTGGGTGGGAGGCAGCACCTTGTCCACCAGAGAACACCGCAGGGCGCATGTAGAGGTAGAGCTTCCACACAGCTGCACAGGTAGGGGCCTGGCGGGGCACCCAGGAAAGATGTGGAACCCCCATGTTCCTTCCCCCATACCTTGCCCTGAGCACCTCCTCAGCTGCCTCCTTTGTCATATTCTTTACAATAGAACTGTAAGTGTGTTTCCTTGAATGATATGAGCTGCTCAAGGAATTTAATCAAACCTCAGGCACAGGTTGAAGGAACCCTGATTTACAGCCATTGGTTAGAAGCCCACGTAGACCCATGCAGGGTGGGGACTGAGCCCCCACCTGTCATTTCTGAAGCTGTTCACAGAGGTCAGAACTAAATTCAGTCAGAGGACCCCCAGCTGTTGTCCGCTGCAGAACTGGCTCCTTACCTGCTGGCAAGCAGAAGCCACACACATGTGGTGCCGTGTCTGTGTTGCTGGTGCTGTGAGGATGGAGGAGAAACAGGGGCTTCTCTTCTTCAGTGAGGCTCAACGTGCTAGGCAGAGTATAGACCCAGGGGGAAGATAGCAGTGGCACTGGGAAGGAGGCACGTTGGCTGCTGAGGGAGACGCATCCTCAGCAGCCTGAGAGGGACGGCGCCGTGCAGACTCCATGTCTCCCTTTATTCCAGATTGTTGCCGGCTCCTGTTGCAAGGGACTCCAAAGTGGAGCGCCCCTCTGCCCCCACTGCCCTGGTGTCCGGAGCTTTGCTGTCTGAGTGGCAGGATGACAGCCGCTGTCCTGTCCGCCCCTTGTGGTGAGTCTGAGTTCTGCCAGCCCTAGGAGTTGGGCTTAAAGGACCCAGCCCCAGAGAGGCACAGGAGGGGGCCACGCAGGTACAGTGCGATTGGATTTCGGGAACCCAAGATGCTGGGTCTGATGGGCGGCTCTTGGGCTGGGGCTTGGGGGTTGGTGTGAGTCACCTGCGCAAGAAAATTACGCTTATTTTTTCTGTAAACCTGATAAAAAGAGCAACGCCCTGTGAATGTCACTTTCCTCTTGTGACACGGGAATAATCACCCAGACCCTGGAGCCCTGTTCTCTGCATAGGGTGAGACGGGCCCTTGTTTCTCATGGAAGCTGTGGCGTCTGAGTGTGGATGGACTGCACGCTGTGAGAGTGCGCAGTGTGTGCAGGAGCTGCGCGTGCGCGCTGTGAAAGTGCACGCTGTGAGAGTGCACGCTGTGAGTGCTCGGTGTGTGCAGGTGCTGCGTGTGCGCTCTGTGAGTGCTAGGTGTGTGCAAGTGCTGTGCACGCGCGCTGTGAGTGCGCGCGCTGCGAGTTCGGTGTGGGCAGGTGCTGCGCGTGTGCATTGTGAGTGCGCGGTATGTGCAGGTGCCGCGCTTGCGCGCTGTGAGAGTGCTCAGTGTATGCGACAGCGCGTGCTTTGAGCAGGTGTAGGTGCAGGTGCTGCGCGTGCGCGCTATGACAGTGCGCACTGTGAGTGCTCATTGTGTGCAGGTGCTAGGCGTGAGCGCTGTGACAGTGCTCGGTGTGTGCGGGTGCTGCGCGTGCACTCCTCGGCTCTGTAGTCAGGCAGGTGGAGAGGCCCTCAGGCTGCGGGACTCGGGGCAGCCTGGGTTCTGGACTCATTTCTTCTTCCCCAGCTCAGACCTCCCTGTATCTGGCCTCTGCTCAGAGCGTGCGCACCGGGAAAGAAAGGCTCAGCAGGGAGTTCCTGACTCTCAGGTTGCAGGTGAGTCTCAGCTCCCTTTGTCCAAATCAGCATGCCCTTGGTGGAGGTGGGACTTGTTACCGTCAGTGGCCTGGAGCCTCCTGGCCCTTGGATACTGCACAGTCCCAGGCTTCTGATGGGGCTCCGGGCTGCCCAGAAAATGTCCGTGTATTGCAACACTCACTACATTTTCAGAATTCTGCAGTTTCCCTAAGGACCCTATTCTATGAGAATTTAAGGAAAAAGCCAGATAAAGACGTTACTCTGCCCTTAGCTCAAGCAACTCATGGTGGCTTTGGAAAAATCAGTTTTCACTTGCCAAATATTTTTCCTACTTCTGCATTGTCCCAGGCTGGTGCCAGACCCTCAATACTGAGGAAAGTAAGATTTCAGGTGGTCAATCTGAGCACAGGAGGGGCACCAGACCTTGGGAACGGGCCAAGTGGACAGAGCCCTGAGGCCGAGCCCAGAAGCCCAGGAGAGTAGTGCAGAGCCCTCCCAGTGTGCCTTGCACCCAGCCCCCTTCCTTTTCGTGCTGGGGGATCCTTGGCATAGTCACGATGTTTGCAATGGTTTAGGATGCGGTGACCTTTGAGGATGTGACTGTGGACTTCACCCGGGAGGAGTGGGCATTGCTGGATGTGTCACAGCGATCGCTGTACAGGGAGGTGATGCTGGAGAACTGCAGGAACCTGGCCTCACTTGGTAAGCTTGGCACCATCCTGCCTGTACTGTATGGCTCAGGTGGCAGCAGTTGCCTTCTAGTCTGATTATTTTAGTGATTCATAGAACATAAAATTCAACATCTTTACATCATTTAAAAATGTAGACTTGAGTGACTTTTAGTATATTCACAGGGTGGCGTTACCCTGTAATTTTTCATTTTATTGAGAAACAGCAATGAGACAGTTTCAAAACAGGTTAGTATGAGAGTTTTAATAATTAATACATTGCATATTGCTACCCTGTAATTTCAGAAACTTTTCACCACCTCTACTGTGATTTGGGCCCAGTTGATGTACTGGAAGTTTGATCTCCTGTGAAAAGGATTGAGGTCACGGCGTCTTTAGCGGGTCAGGCCTTGTAGATGACTGGACCTGGGGACGTCACCCTCACAGTGGGTGAGGGCTCACGGGACCAGGCTAGTCCTCTGGAGAGTAGGTGGTGAAAAAGGGAGGTGATGCCTCGTGGTGGGATCCTCTCCATGCAGCTGGTTCCCTTTCATCTTCTGTCCCATGCTGTGGTAGAGCCAGAGTCTTCTCCAAGTGGCAGCACTGCTGCAGGCACTAGAATCATGAGCCAAAAAGCAGCCTCTTTTCTTTATAAAATATCCATTCTTGGGTATTTTGTTGCAGCAGAAGAAAACAGACTGAGACAACCCCTACAAACTAAAATGCTCCGTTCCTGTTAAGCATTCAGCACCTATTACCTTCCCTGCTCATGGCCGCTTGAAGCCACTAATCTGCTTCCTGTCTCTGACTGTGCCTGTGCCTGTTCAGGACATTTCCTAGGAATGGAATCGTAGGAAGCCTGACTATTTGTGTCTGACTTTTTTCACATGCATAGTTTTTCCAAGATATAGCTCTGTTTTAATACATATCAGTGTTTCATTTCTTGTAATGACTGAAGAGTATTTCCTTGTGTAGGAGACACCAAATTTTGTTGGTCCATTCACAGTTTAATAAGCATTTAGATTGCTTCTACCCTTTGGCTATTATGAGTAATGCTGCTATGGATATTTCTGTACAGATTTTAGTGGAAGCAGTTGATTTTGTTCTCTTGGGTTGGGATGCCAGTAGATCATGGTGTTTCTTCTGTTGTTGTTTACCGAGACAGTCTCACTATGTAGTTTCGGCTGGCCTTGAGTGCATTCTGTAAATTTACAGTGATCCTCCTTCCTCAGCCTCCTGAGTGCTGGGATTACAACCATGCGCCACCACGCCTGCCATAGGTTATGGTATTTTGTGCTTGAGTGTTGAGGAATGAAGATTTTGCACAGTAATGGCAGCATTTTACATAATCCCAAAGCACAAGTGTGCAGTACTGGCTGTGTCCTCCTCAGCCTCTCTGTCCTGCTTACAAGCGTCCTGCTGGCTGTGAAGTACTACTCGCTGTTGCTTTGGTTTGTGTGGTGCGGGTTGGCACACGGGGTGGTGTCCCACAGACTCTGGCCATTTGTTTTTTCATGTTGTGG